CTCACCCCCCCATCCACAGCCCTCACCTCCCCATTCCCCAACCCCCTATCCCAGCCCTGATCCCCTTCCCGCTCTCCAAACTCCTGGGTCCAAGCCCGGACCACCCTCCTACACCCCAAACCCCTCATCCCCAGAGACCACACCCCCAGCCAGAGCTCACATTCTCCTCCCCACACCCCACCCTCCCTGCCCAGCCCAGAGCCTGATCCCACACCCTGAATTCCTCATTTCTGATCCCACAGGCAGAGCCCTCACCCCCTCCCACACCCCAACCCCAATTTCATGAGCATTCATGGCCCGCCCTACAATTTCCATACCCCAATGTGGTCCTCGGTCCAAAAAGTTTGCCCACCCCTGTTATAGACAATACACATAGCAACACTTGTAGTTACAGTGCCTACAACTTCCCATTGTATGACCCTGTTTGCTTATAAATTTGCTGAACTTAACCAATTTAGGCTGAAGTTTTCCATGGCGGCTGTCTCTTATTAAAAGATACAGCACAGATAGCTCAGTGGTTTCAGAGAACAGGGAGATATGTTCTGCCCGTGCTCAGTGAAGTCTTGCAGCCATTCCCCAGAGAAGTGCTAGCAGCTTATGTAGGTGGGGGCATCATAATGCTGGAGTCTGGGAGGTGCCTTTTGCTCTCCCTGTGAGAATTAACACAAATCAGGCCAAACAATTCTTTGAAGAGTCCATCTGCACCAACCATAGAATCTCAGGGTTGGAAGGGACCTCAGGAGGTCATCTAGTCCAACCCCCTGCTCAAAGCAGGCCCAATTCCCAACTAAATCATCCCAGCCAGGGCTTTGTCAAGCCGTTTTTCAAACTTTGGCTCCCGGGCCATCAGGATAAGCCGCTGGCGGGCTGAGATGGTTTGTTTACTGCGAGCGTCCGCAGGCATGGAGGTAAACCTAAGTAAACAAAGTGTCCCGGTGTGCCAGCAGCTTACCCTGACGGGCCGGGACAGCAACTGGTGGGGAAATTTTTTGGGGGGGAGAAACTGGGGGTCAGGGGAGTAACCCCTGTGACCAGCCCCCACAGGACCCCACCCCTAGTCTGGGACCCCCACACTCTCCCCATCCCATCCCTTCCCACCTTATCTGGGGAGGATGCCTCTGGCCTGGCTGGAGCTGCTCCGGCAGGCAGGGCAGCGCGGCCGCAGCGTGCTCCAGCAGGCCAGATCAGGCAGCACGGCCACAGCATGTTCCAGCGGGCTGGGCCGGGCGGCACGGCTGCAGCGTGCTCTGGCAGGCCGGCAGCGTGGCCACAGCCTGCTCTGGGGGGTGGGGCTGAGCAGCACGGCTGCAGCCTGCCAGCCCCGGAGCTGCAGCTGCTTTGGAGGCTGGGGGGAGAGCAGCGTGGCCAGAAGCGGAGAGACTCTGGCCCCGCCTCTTCCCTTCTGGGTCTGCTGGCTGTGCTGCCTCTCCTTGCCCCCTCTGTTGGGGGGAGGGGCTGTCTCTCACCTCTCCCTCTCTATAACCGTTCATAAGCCGACCCCTTCTCTGGTGCTTCCTTTTTTAAACCATGCTCCATCCCTTCACAGCCTCGACATGCCAGGCTGACCATGTGCCATCCCCAGACAACTGAGCCTACTTGATCCCAGGCTGCTGGGCCTGAGCAAGACTTCCCTACAATTGCTTCTTCCAGAAGCCAGGGGTCTCTGTGGTGCAGGGTACAATGATAACAGCTGACTTGTGTTTTCAATGCTGCCAGGTCCCACACCTGCATGACTGTAATGCAAAGGGGTGAAGGAGGACAAAGAAGAAATGCAGAGGGGAAGGGGGACCATGCGCAGAAACAGAAGGAGCCGTAACCGCTAAACCTTCAGAACCTGAACTGAACTTATTATTGGTTAGTCCCACCATTTTTCTGCTCTGTAGCACATAGACACATTTTACCCATGGTCTAGCTATTTCCTCCTTAGTAGCAGGTCAACAAAGATATCAGTTATGCCATTACTGGTGCAGTGAATCTGAAGGTCCTGACCTTGCTGATGTGCCATGAGAGTGAGCTAACATGGTTTTACAGGATGAAGTTTGCATTTAAGTTTTAAAAAAATTGGGAAATTACATTAAAAATGTTAAGAAACTTGTGATTACAAAATTGAACATGGTCATTTGGAAGTGCCAGAACTATGGTTTCCCAGGAAACTTTTATTTAGCCCCCTGTGCATATACCTTATGATGCTTCTTTAATTACACGATCATACTGTTTTCTCCACATCACCCCTGCTTCATTCAGTGCACAGGACAGACCTGGTCTGGGGATGAGTCAAGGCTGTGGTCTGATGGACCTCTGCCTCAGCTGTTGCAGAAGGTGGGAGATTGTAGTGAATGAAACAGGGGGTTTCAGGAAAAAAGGTAGCTGAATGCTGCTCTGGAAACAGGATTTAATCCTTCTCTCCCAGAGAGGGTGGATTAGGTTAAAATTGACTTTAACTGTGCTTTGCATTTGTACTTTAGTTATTTTCTTAAATAAAAGTAGATTCTCATTTTTAAATAAATAGATACAGTAGATAGATGGGTACTTTGTGCTAAGAAGGACACACTATCAATATAAATTTAAATGACAGCTGAACATACATTTATTCAGATTCTTAATTTACTTTGATTGTTAGAAAATGGTGAAAGATGTATTTCTTAATTTGGTTGAGATCTGTGTCAAACTGCATTTGGATGGAAATAGGAATTCAATTTAAAATGCACAAAAACATTTTAAAGTTGTTTTTTTTATTAAATACACCTCTACTTCGATATAACGCTGTCCTCTGGAGCCAAAAAAAAAAATCTTACCACCTTATAGGTAAAACTGCGTTATATCGAACTTGCTTTGATCCGTCAGAGTGTGCAGCCTCCCCCCCCGGAGCACTGCTTTACCGCGTTATATCAGAATTAGTGTTATATCGGGTCACGTTATATCAAGGTAGAGGTGTATAAGGTAATTTTATTTAACTATATAAAAACAAATAAGTAAGGTTGCCCACAGCCGTATTTTCCAAATTATTAGGCACCTAAAGATGCACATACACGCCTCATAGGATTTTTGAACACCTAGCTTACTGAAATCAACTCCCAGTTGATTTCTCAACTTTGAATTAACTAGTCCAAATGGAGAAAGTGTTCTCTGTAACTGCTAGCTAAACTGAAGGCAAAAGCAATTAAGGCAAAAGCTTTTCTGCACAACAGGAACTGAAATACAAGCATCTGCTCTTCTGGAAAGCCTGAAATTGATACTTAATGTACTTTATGATACTGACATTTATAAATTTAACTTTTGAGATCACCTCAGATTGTAAAAAAGCAGCACCCTTTAATTGATTGAAGTTTGAGAGCTCATTGATCAAGCATTTATTTAAATGGTTTTAATAGATCAAAGTAAGTTTGGGCCTCAGACTGTCAATTTCAACTTTAATTGTATACAAGTATGGATAATTTGGATCACTCAATGATTGGCTGTTCTGTTCATTCCCTCTGAAGCTCTGGCCTGTCAGAAAACAGGATACCATCGGTCTGACCCAGTATGGCTGTTCTTATAGGTTTGTTTTTAATCATTTTAACCTAAGTCTGATTTTTTGCAGGTTGGCACTAACTGTGGTCCTCATTTTCTAGGTATTTGACTTGAGATCGTGGGGTCTGATTTGCAGAGTGCTCTCTCACTCTCAGTTGCAAATGAGATCAACAAGAGCTGTGCTTTCAACATGTGAAATGTTATGAAGTTCTAAGTACTCTGAACAAAAATCAGGTCCTAGGCTGCTCAAATTGGGCACTGAAAGTTAACTGACACTTGGCTATAATCTGTGCTTTAGTTCCCCAGCTGTAAAACGGGGATATCACCCACTCATCTCACAGGGGTGAGATACCACATTCAGTAATGTCTGCACAGAACTAAGACTATGAGGAGAGCACCACAGAAGAACCCATGAGTAACTTATTCTGTATTTGGCAGGATTTGGACGGCGAACAGTAAACACATGGGCTATGCACTGAATGAGGACAAAATCCTCAATACCCGTTCAACGTGCATCATCAATCCTGTGCATGGACTGAGGTGGGGTCTTGTGGTAGTAGTATGTGATCAAGTAATTAACAGCTGTACTACATACACAAGAGGACTGGATTAAGGGTGCACAGGCATCTCCTAATTTGAGTGATTAACTTTGCAACCCTAATATGTTTAATGTAATTCTGTTGGATGCACTACACAAAGAGTAGGTGCCATGCAGATGGCCAGTCCACTAAGGAGCTGATGCCTGAAATAGCAACAGCCACCTACTCTACTCCCCGCTCAAGGGAGAGCTTGAGTAGCTCAGCCATCCAAAAGGACCAACTGGAAACAAGAACACTGAAGCAGGGGCTGGATCGGGGCAGCTCAGTGAGCCAATACTGCTCCCCTGGGGCTGAATCAGGCTCCAGAACCTAAACTTTATATTAGAGTTCGATATCTAGCACTTGAGAAAAGCTTCACAATACAGACCACATATAAACAGAGACATTGCCACCTGCCTGGGTGCACAGGCTTTCTGAAACATAGCTCAAGAGGACTATTCATGCCTCTTAACCACAAGGCCATGCTGAAGCTGAAGTCTAGGGATTATAATTTAAACAAACTATCAGCTATTCATCTGGTCATCAAGTTATGTGAGAAAGGAGAGGCACTGTCCTATTATGGAGATGTGCAGTCTCCTGCCAGTGGCATCACATGGTGCCATGCACAGAGATTGGAGCGTACCACATCCAATCCCTGATTACAGGGGCTAACGTGGTTGCAGCCTGAAAAAACAGCACCACACAGCATTCATTGCTGTGAGTGCAGTCCCAGCTCCGCTAGGATCTACAGAGCCCATGTTGACGGAGGAACCAGAAGAGCCTGGATACAGCCTTGATGGGGAGTGAGCTGCTGATGCCAGCCAATGGTGCGATTATGACAATTGTGCCAGTGTATTCAAGGGTGTATGAGCCAGTTCCTCTGCCCTCTCCACCCCACTGCAGCCCCATTACCTTTGCACCACACTCAGCTCCCTTCTGTATGCAGAACCCAATGAACCTGGGGTCAGCCACCTTCACTAAGATGTTGTCAACGCAGTACATATGGATGCTCCAGATGCCTCGCTGCTCCATGTCCTCCACGATGCCATGGGCGCCAAGGGCTCGGTACAGCCCCCCATTGCCATCTGGTGAGGCGAGAACACATTACTGCACCAGAAGCATACAGCAGGAGTGAGTATTTAAGCCAGTCCCCAGCTGGATGCCACACAGGGATTAGCATGTTCCTAGAGATTGAGGGAAGCTGCCAGGGGAACAGACTAGACTGTAGTAAGAGGGGCCACGGTGGGGACTTTGGCCTCCTGTGAGCACACCCCAGCCCAAATATCCTCTCCCCTGGTCTGTTTCCCTGATGCCCTGTTCCATCCCATCCCTCAGGCTGGGGCCTGGCACTGACTCTGCAGCAGAGGCTGGGCCAAAGAGAAGCCATGACACAACCCTGAGTGGCCAGCACCAGTCTGTCTGCTCTGTGGGGGAGGAGGAGGAATAGTCCTAGCAGGAGCAGCATATGCAGGGAATCAGGGGGGAAGAGGGAACTACACAAGACAGAGGTGTCTATGGGGAAGGGGCTGTGCCAAGGTATGCAGGATGGAATTGTGAAGATCCTAGGGTTCATTGCAACACTGAGATGCCAAGTCGGGGCAAGGACTCCACTCAGCTCAATAAAAATGTCATTGGGCTGCAGGGCACCAATTGCAGGAAGGATCGGACTAACAGTGGCTTTTATTCCAATAGGACCAGGAGATACTGAGCCCCTCGTCACTACTAAAGCCCTGCAAAGCCTCTCTTCCCCCTCCCCATTCACTTATGAACTAAGCAGGCTCTTTGGCATCTCAGTGCTAACTCCATCCCCAAGATGACGGATGAGTGATAGGGCACAAGCCACTCTGTGCAAATTCACTCCCCTGTCCCAGAGGGAAAACAGGAACCCAGCTGTGCTATAGCAGAGCAAACTACTACACCTAGATAACTAGGCAGAATACTAAGAGGGTCACTCCCCAGTTTGCAGGCAAGATGCCTGGCTTTATTAGAGCCATATTTGTCTAAGGGAAAGGGACAGGCAGGCACTTACTGTTGTGATACAGATGTTTAATGACACCAAGCCTGCAAGTTGCTTTCTGAAAGGCCAGGTCTGCCAGATCTATGAGGATAAGCAGAGATTCTCTGCTGTTTCCTAGAACCAACCTTTGCACAAGTCACCCTCAGAAGTCCCTAGAGCGAGTTTTATCCCACTTACGTATTTTCTGTCCCTCCCATCTAACCTGTCCTCCTGCATGACGTTCTGGGGTGAGGGAAAGGGGGTGTCCCTAGGCTGCAGTCTAACAAGCTCCTTCCCTCCCACTCAAAGCCTCTTCAGTCCAGCCATTTCTGTGACTCCCCTCTGCTCAAGATCAGCCAGAGCAATACTGGAAATCCATGGGAAATTGGGGGATTGTTGCTGGATTTGGCACAGACCATGAAACATTTTGTAAGTTCAACAGGATTCCAAACAAAGCAATTCTGCATCTAAAAACACCTGTGAGCTGCTGGCTACATGTGTCTGATGGAATGAGAATGAACTTTCACCCCACCATGGTTTACCCTACCTCCTCAAAGCTTCTTATCCCCATCACCCTCCAGATCAGTGTTTCTCAAACTTTTGTATTGGTGACCCCTTTCACACAGCAAACCCATGAGTGTGACCCCCCTTATAAATTAAAAACACTTTTCTTGTATTTAACACTATTATAAATGCTGGAGGCAAAGTGGGGTTTGGGGTGGAAGCTGACACCTCGCAACCCCCTGTTTGAGAACCCCTGCTCCAGATCTTGCATTTGAGACCTTCCAATCTGAACGACCTTGATGCCCCATTCAGAGCCTTGCTGAATCCAGTCTGCTGGAGAGGTTTGCTCCCCTAAACTCCCACTAATGGGCTTTCAACAGCACAGACCTGGTGCCATGGAAACTTTGCCCTTCTCTTCCAGAAAAATCTTGCCATCAAACCCCATAGCAGGCAGCATCCCTTGCTGGAAAAAGATCACATTTTTCTGCTTTAAACCAAAGTAATTGTGCTTCAAGAAGAACTCCTTTGTAGATTCCATTGTTCTGCCACTTGTCATGATGTACCTGCCACAGGAAGAAGAGAAAAACCCAAGTAAATAGGGAGACAATCAAACTCGGCTCCTGTCTGATCTTCACACAGGATTGCTTTTGAAGCCCACGTAGAGCACTCGTGGGAGAGAGATCAGGACCCCCTGGGATCAGGATGTATCTCAGAACAGCTCTCACTCACATCTAACAATGAATCACATCAACATTTCACCTCTGACCAGTGAGCTCTCTGCAGCCACAGGTTTGGCAGCAATTGTCTGAGTGGCCATGTCAGGGACCTACGGAGCCAGGAGGATGGTGCTGGTGGTCTCCATGAGCTGGGAGGAGCCCATGGTTAGAACAAACATGCAGGAGGAAGTTGTATCTGCTGCGATATGATCTACTGGCACTAGGGAGGAGGAGGACTAGCTGCCCCAAGCCAGTGAGGAACGTCAACACAGGCCTTGAGCAACACTTCCACTGACAGCAACAGACACTGGAACCTCCTTGAGCAGCATTGGACAATGCTTTGCTGGGTAATTTGGCTGGAAGACCCTTTGTCAGCAGCATCTGGCACTGCTGACTTACTGGCCCTTGAGCCCCATTGTTGCTGGAGGAGGCTCATCTCCTGACCTTTTGGGGTTCTGCTTGAATAGGCAGCACAGAGAACTAGAAGGATTATGGCTCAGGTTCTAGAAACACTAGCAATGGCTACAAGGAATATGGTAAATCAGTGCTTGATGCTGACCTCCCTGAATGCCCCAGCCAGGATACCAGAGAGTCAGACCCCAAGCAGAGATCAACTGTAGAGGATGGGAGACTATCCCAGAGGGATGAGGATGCACAAGCATCTTAAAAAGGCAAGGCCACAGTAGTGCCTGCAACCAGCGATTAGAAAAACCACTTTCAGAGAAGACTGAACTAACAAGAGGGAGCTAAACTAGATCAGTTCATCCTGTTACTTCCCTGGTCAAAGAGCAGCTACCTCAGAATGAATTTAAGGGCAGCTGGAGCCATCCCCCTTTACACCCTTCAGTCCCAGCAGAAGTTATGGAAATGCACTGTAGACCCAGACACACTGCTCACTGGAAGTTTCTGAACCCCCCCCGGGCACGGGCACATTTAGAACATCGGTTTGCTTTTTTGACTGCCGCTGCACATTGAGTGGATGTTTTCAGAGAGCTATCCACAATGACTCCAACATCTTTCTTGAGTGGTAACAGCTAATTTACACCCCATAATTTTATATGTATAGTTGGGATTATGTTTTTCCAATGTGCATTACTTTGCATTTATCAACATTAAATTTCTTCTGCCATTTTGTTGCCCAATTACCCATTTTTGAGAGATCTTTTGTAGCTCTTCGCAGTATGCCTGGGTCTTAACTATCTTTAATAATTTTTTATCATCTGCAAATTTTGCCACCTCACTCACCATTTACCCCTTTTTCCAGATCATCTATGAATATGTTGAACCAGACTGGACCCAGAACAGACTCCTGGGGGACACCACTATTTACCTCTCTTCATTCTGAAAACGGATTATTTATACCTACCCTTTATTTCCTATCTTTTAACCAGTTACCAATCCATGAGAGCACCTTCCCTCTTATCCCGTGACAGCTTACTACGCGTAAGAGCCTTTGGTGAGGGACCTTTTCAAAGGCTTTCTGAAAATGTAAGTACACTAGGTACACACTGGATCCCCTTGGTCCACATGATTGCTGACCCCCTCAAAGAATTCTAGTAGATTGGTGAGGCATGATTTCCCTTTACTAAAACCACGTTGACTCTTCCTCAACAAATTAAAAACAATATTGTCAGACATATAGATTAACATAGTTTCAACCAGTTTGCCTGGTACTGAAGTTAAGCTTCCAGGCCTGTAATTCCCTGGATCACCTCTGGAGCCCTTTTAAAAAATTAAAATCATGTTAGCTATCCTCCAGTCATCTGGTACAGAAGCTGATTTAAATATGTTACAGACTACAGTTAGTAGTTCTGCAATTTCACATTTGAGCTCCTTAAGAACTCTTGGGTGAATACCATCTGGTACTGGTGACTTGTTACTGTTTAGTTTATCAATTTGTTCCAAACCTCCTCTAATGGCCTCTATCTGGGCCAGTTCCTCAGATGTGTCACCTAAGAAGAATGGCTCAGGTTTGGGAATCTCCCTCACATCCTCAGCCATGAAGACTGATGCAAAGAATTCATTTAGTTTCTCCGCAATGGCCTTATTGTCCTTGAGTGCTCCTTTAGCACCTCGACTGTCCAGTGGCCCCACTGGTTGTTTAGCAGGCTTCCTGCTTCTGATGTACTTAAAACAAAAATTTGCTATTACTTTGAGTCTTTGGCTAACTGTTCCTCAAATGCTTTTTTGGCTTCCTAATTGTATTTTTACACTTCACTTTATGCTCCTTTCTATTTTCCTCACTAGGATTAAGCTTCCGCTTTTTAAAGGATGTCTTTTTACCTCTCACTGCTTTTTACTTTGTTGTTTAGCCACAGTGGCTCTTTTTTGGTTCTCTATGTTTTTTTTAATTTGGGGTATACATTTAAGTTGAGCCTCTATTATGGGGTCTTTAAAGAGTTTCCACACAGCTTGCAGAGATTTCACTTTTGGCACTGTACCTTTTAATTTCTGTTTAGCCTCCTCATTTGTGTAGTTCCCCTTTCTGAAACTAAATGCTACAGTGTTGGGCTGCTGTGGTGTTTTTCCTGCCACAGGGATATTAAATTTAGTTATATTATGGTCACTATTACTAAGTGGTCCAGCTATATTCACCTCTTGGACCAGATCCTGTGCTCCTCTTAGGACTAAAACAAGAATTGCCTCTCCTCTGGTGGGGTCCAGGACCAGCTGCTCCAAGAAGCAGTCATTTAAGGTGTCTAGAAACTTTATCTCTGCGTCTCATCCTGAGGTGACATGTACCAGCCAACATGGGGATAATTAATAATGGGGTATTTCAATTATTATTATTATTGAGTTTTTTTATTTTAATAGCTTCTCTAATCTGCCTGAGCATTTCAGTCACTGTCACCATCCTGGTCAGGTGGTTGGTAATATATCCCTACCGCTATATTCTTATTAGAGCATGGAATTTCTATCCAGAGACTCTATGGTGCAGTTTGATTCATTTATGATTTTTACTTCATTTGATTCTATGCTTTCACATATAATGCCACTCCCGCAACCAGCATGACCTGTTCTGTCTTTCCAATCTATTTGGTATTACTGTATCCCATTGATTATCCTCATTTAATATGAGGCACTCTAGTTCACCCATTTTATTATTTAGACTTGTATGTGAAGAAAGCCACAGTGTGCAGAGAACCACCATCAGCTGAAGGCAATCTCTTGGGATTCTTTCATGGCTTTTCCTGGGATTTTCCCTTGCTTTCCAAATTTGTGTCTTTTCTCCCCCATTTTTCTTCACAGGCTCTAAGGGTGCCTGATGTGCCAGGCTTGTGACAGAAACCACGGAAAGGAATCCCAAAGCTACTTGTTTACAATTTCAGTTCTCATTGGGTGTGTGACATACCAGGGTACAATCCAGACCAATGACTAGATGCGTCACTCCTGCCCTGTAACCTGGGCTGCTCTTTACAGCAGCAAGGCATTGTAGTCTCCAGCCTGGCCCACTCACAAACAGCCTTTGGCATGTAAATCACTCCCAGCAATGTCTGTATGTGCTGCTGCCAGCCAGCCACACCTTGGCACCTACCAGCTTTGGTTATGCGGCAGGGTGACCCCAACACAGCCCCAGTCCTGGATCATTCCCCAGGAATATATGTCCTGTACTGCCCAGTCCTCTCCTGAATAGTACAAATATGTTAAATCTGTTACTCCTTTAAAGGAATAATATGCACATAACTTGTTAGCCCAAATGGAGTCACCCAGACCCTTCAACTTGAGCGTGCTGGATTAGATAATAAACTGGTTTTACTGTTTATTCTACAGAGAGATTTTGAGTACAAGTTACCAGGTATAAAAGTCCGAATGCTACAAGAGGTAAAATGCTTACTGGTGCCTAACTAATCTATATTAGATTGGAAACAAATTTCTTTTGCCACATGCTTTCAACAGTTTTACTGACCAAACTCCAAGTCAGGACCCCTCCCCCAGAGTCCAACAGCTGCTTCCTTTGTCTCTTTAGTTGCAGTGAATGTGATGGGCAGCGAAGAGAGTTGTCTTGGTGTCTGTCCCTTCTTTCTATAGTCCTGTCCCCACTTTGAGAAGCATTTCCAGCTGGGAACAAGGCGACAAGCTGTCGGTGTGGAAGGAAAATCCATGCTGTTTCTTCACTAAGATGTAGATTTTTGCCCTGCCCCCTTTCCTGCCAAAGAATGGCCACTTGGCAGGTAACTGTCCAGCCTTGTTTACACATGGATCAGGCATCAGCTTGCACTTTGTCTCTGAGAAACTTGTAGGTCACTCCCTAGACTTCTCCAGAAGGCATACTTTGGTCATGATTTCAGCTTGTTTATATATGAAGTTTATAGTTTCACACATAATGCTGCTATTTGTATTTGGCCATGATAATGATGATCAGCAAATTATGCATTTTTCAATCAGTGCACCTCAAACTGGGGGTCCTGACACAAAAGGGGGTCACAAGATCACAAAAAATATTGCCAAGAGGAAGGGGAGTTCGGGGTGGGGGGTACAGCAGCTGCCGCTCTCTGGCCACCAAGCTCCAAAAGCAGTGCCACCACCAGCGGCAATACAGAAGTAAGGGTGGCAATACCATAAGTATGCTCCTATGAGCATCTACAGTAATTTGCTATCACTTTGGGGGGGGGGGGGGTCATCACAGCCTGAAATATTTAAACCAGTTTTAAATTATACCTTACAATGCATACTTTGTAGATGGTGAACAAAAGGTGTATATTCTGTCTACACTGGAATTAGATACCCCTGGCTGGCCCATGCCAGCTGACTCAGGTTCACAGGGCTCAGGCTGTGGGATCATTTAATCACAATGTAGACGTTCTGGCATGGGTTGCAGCCCGGGCTTTGGAACCATCCCACCTTGCAGGCCCAACAGCCAGAGCCAGCTGGCACGGGCCAATCATGGGTTTTTAATTGCAGTGTAGACACACTCAAATACCTCCTGAACTCAGACACCTGACATACGATTTGGAGAGCAGCTCTTTGAAAAGGCTCATCACCCCCACCCATGAGAGTGATGGCCCAGAAAGGTCACAGTCCACATCCTTCTTGAGCAAGGCTGGGAAGACCAGCTTAAAGACCAGGAAAGAAGAGAAACAATGGCAGACACCCATCTCCCCCACCCAGAGGGGAGAGGATTGAGGCCTGGGTCTACACACAAAAATTAGATCCATCTAGCTACCCCACTCAGGGCTATGACAATGTCTCACCATGAGCACAATGATTAGGTCAATCTAGGTACTGTCTCTCAGAGGTGGATTTAACTAATTGACACAGAAAGTATCTACACTACAGTGGCACATCTGCAGCACCACAGCTGTGTCGCTGTAGCACAGATATACCATTAGAAGAAGGCTTATAATGGAAGTCTGGTTGCAATCTTAACTATGGCATTACAACTCATAACTCAATACTTTGCCTGGGTATAGTGTCTTTCAGTCACCAATGCCTTGCAGAACAACTTAGATGGGCAGACTCGGGCCACAGCTACATTAAGGAAATTCACATGGACATGACTGCCTCTATGCTGTATCACCAGTGCAAACCTCTAAAACAGACATTGCACCAGTGCAGCTTAAACTTGTAATTTACTGAGAGCACAGCCTCAGCATAGGCTGCTCTCTGCATGGGCACACCATGTCTTCATTAGGGCTTTGTGCTAGTGTATGCAGTTATACAGGTTAGACAAACACCTGCCAGGAATGTTCTAGATCAGTCATTGCCAACCTTTTTAAGCACATGATCACTTTCTGAATTAAAGTGAAACCCAGGATCTACCCCGCCCCTTCTCCAAGGCCCCACCTCACCACATTGCTCACTCTCCCCCACCTGCACTCACTTTCACCAGGCTGGGGCAGGGGGTTGGGGTACAGGCTCTGGGCTGGGGCCAAGGGGTTCAGAGTGGGAGGGGGCTCAGGGCACAAGCTCTGGGAGGGGGCTCAGGCAGAGGATTGGGGTGCTGGCTCTGGGAATGGGCTCAGGGCTGGGACAGGGTGCGGGGCTGCACTGGGCAGCGCTTAGCTGGGGTGGCAGCGCAGTGGAGCTAAGGCAGGTTCCCTGCCTGCCCTGGCCCCATGCTACTCCTGGATGCTGCTGGCACATCCCTGCAACTCAGGGCCGGCGGGGGGGGAGGGGGGAGGGAGGAGGGAAGGGAGAGGAGAGAGAGAAGGAGAAGAGGAGGGGCTGGAGGGGAGAGAAGGTGGCTCTGTGCACTGCCCATCCCTGCAGGCACCATCACCGCAGCTCCCATTGGCCACAGTTCCCCATTCCCGGCCAGTGGGAGCTACAGGGGCAGTGCCTGCAGGGAGGAGCAGTGCCTGGAGACCCCCTTTCCCTCCCCCTCCCCACCCAATGCAGGGATGTGCCAGCTGCTTCCAGGACCAGCGCTGGGCCAGTGCAGGCAGGGAGCTTGCCTCAGCCCTGCTGTGCTGCCAGACTTTTAGCAGCCAGAGACTGTGGTTGACTGGCAGAGGCTCTGCGATCAACCAGTCAATCACAATCTACCGGTTGGTAACTACTGGTCTAGGTAATACTTAGTCCTGCCATGAGTGCAGGGAACTGGACTAGATCACCTCTTGAGGTCTGTTCCAGTCCTATAATGCTATATCACTGCCAATTGCCTTCATCTAGGAAAGGCCAAGGCAGAGATTAGTTACCATGCCCAAGTTTACACAAAGGAAATAGAGCCAGGACCAGAACCTAGAACTCTCCCCCAGACCCCTGCTGCAGACAAACCAGACTACTATCAGGATGGACTGACAATGCAAACCCCTTACCATGGAATGACACACTTAGTGCCATGCTGTTTTTCAGCCAGCTGCTGTAGTTTCAGGATGCGCTCTGCTTGGATCTGGAAGAGCGTTTTGTGGGATGGCAACCCCACATCATACATTCCCTTGGGATAAGAAACACCCAGTCTCGTCCCCTGTCCACCAGCTAGGAGGAGGACAGCTACTTTGCTCTGAGAAATCTGATGGAGACCTAAAGAAAGAAAAAGAAAAAAGTGACTAAAAGCTTTCCCCCTGCAGAGGGGAAACCATGTGATGCCTTCCAGTTTATGAACAATATCATTGGAACCATAATCCTCCAGCACCCAAGCTGGCTGGCTCTAGGGAGGAAGGCAGCACAGCCAATCCCAGTTAAATAAAGGCTCTCCGGTTATTGGTAGGGGGACAGGATGGTCTGAGGGAACATGTGTACTGCTCTGTTGACTGGCTCAGTCACAGCAAAGGAGCTCTGTCTGGAGGAGACAAGGATGAGCTTCAGAGCAGCCCCAACAGCACTAGACTAAGTTCTGGGCATGCTTGTGGCGTTTACCCCTCACCCTTCTTGAAAACAGCCAGCTCCTGTCCACCAGGATCACACCACTCCACCCAGGAGTGGCCTTGCGGAGGGGCAGAGAGATTATCCTTTGGGGGTACAGAAGCTCAGCTGGCAGTTTCATGTAGTAAATGTGCAGGAAGGATCTTCAAATCATCCTGCTGCAGGAGTGTAATCCAGGCTCAGCCAAGTCTCTTTAGATTTCTATTTACCCCAAAATCATTGGGACACTCAGTGCTGGGCTTCACAGAACCAGGAAGACAGTTGTCCTCACAACTCCCAGGTCTTGCAGAGATCACAAGGACAGCCTAGACCAGTGACACATGTGGCTCACTAGCCTCAGTCTGAGTGTCTCCTGCAGCTCTCAGTGTTTTAACATGTGCTGCAGATTTAATTAACCAATCAGGATGCTTTTACTATGTTATTAACCAATTGTGTTAAAATACTTGGTCAGTCATTTTGTTGAGCACACACACACACACACACACACACACAGTGTAACTCCTCACTTAAAGTCATCCCTGTTAACGTGGTTTCATTGCTGATCAATTAGGGAACATGCTCGTTTAAAGTTGCACAATGCTCCCTTCGAATGTTGTTTGGCAGCCGCCTGCTTTGTCCACTGCTTGCAGGAAGAGCAGCACATTGCAACTAGCTGGTGGGGGCTTGGAACAAGGGTGGACTGGCAGCCCCCCTATCAATCAGCTCCCCGCTCCCCTAAGTTCCCTGTGCAGCAGCTGCCCAGCAGGCTAGCAATTGCTGCTGTCCCTCCCCGCACTGCCATGTGCTGCTCCTGCCCTCTGCCTTGGAGCTGCTCCCTGAGACTCCTGCTTGCTGTGCGGGGGGAGGGGAGGAAGAGGGAGCCTAATGTCAGGGTGTCCCCCTCCCCCTGCTCCTGCACCCCGCTTACCCCCATCTTCCATAGAGCAGGGGGGGGGGACACGACAGAGGGAGCTTCCAGGCAGCAGCAGCCTCAGCAAACTGATCTAATTAACAAGGCAGTGTACTTAAAGGTGAAATGCGCATCTCTCTCACATACACAGTGTGTGTGTCTGTCTGCAATGCTCTCTCCCCTCCCTACATTCCTGCTGCCTTGTAGACAGAGAGTTAATCTTTGAGGGCTCAACCAATTGCTAGATCATTTAGCAGTAAGGCATTCCCTGGAAAATATCCCACCCTCTGTGAAACTTGGTTGATGTGGAGGAGTCAATCATCATCACAGTGTACCAGTATTAAGTTGTTGGTTTAAAACCTATACTGTCTGTATATATTTTATAGTCTTGTCTGGTGAAAAAAATTCCCTGGAACCTAACCCCCACATTTACATTAATTCTTATGGGGAAATTGGATTCACTTAACATCGTTTTGCTTAAAGTCGCATTTTTCACGAACATAACTACAACGTTAAGTGAGGAGTTACTATATATATATAGCAAATATTCTTGATACTGTTTAAATATGACTATATAGTACTATAGTTAATGAAACAATGAATACACACTACTGTGGCTCTTGAGTAATGCTGATCACTAATTTAGCTCCTGAACCACTGATGTCAGAGTATCATTAGCCCAGACTAACCACATGATAAGGAGTGGTAAGAGGTGGCCAATCCAGCATGTGTTCAAAGTACTATACAAACATTAACACAACACCCAAATCCCTTGTGAGGTACATGGCTTTATCTTCATTTGGGATTTGCCCAAGGGCAGAAACCAGGGCGGATGGGAGGGAAGTAGAGTCAAAAACAGAATTCCCAGACTCAGATTTCTAGCCCAGAACTTAATTCCCTAGACAATGCTGCCTGATCTAAGATAAATGCAGTCTAGCAAGTTAACACGGATAAGGAACCTGTGCATTCCTATTGCCTAACTGGCATTTCAGTTATGCACCCTTCTTGTTGCACCAGTGTAGATTTTTGTATTTAATAACCCACCCCCTGAATACTATATTACTTACAGAACTGAGTATGTAAGTTAAAAAAAATAATCAAGATTGCACAGCTAACATGGAATTTTCCTATTTGAAAGTTTAGAAAGGAATTCAACAAACAAAAGGAAGACAGAAAGAAGGGAAAGAGTACCTATGTGTTGCATTAGAGAGAAGCATGGCCTAAACATAGGAATGAATGGGAGCCACAAATGCTGGAGTTCTAATCCCAGTTCCGCCAGCGGCTTGGGTAAATCTGTACCTCATTTCTTCCCCCCTCCATTCCCATATTCTAGTACACATGCTCTCATCTCAGAGGAGTTGGTATAAATGCTATTTTGTAGGTGCATAGCAAAAGATACTGAGCATTTAAAGTACTAGAAGAATGTCAAGCATTAGGAGTGCTAGGTTGTATGTGGGGCCAAGACATGAAGCAGTTATTCACAGAGGGTTTGTATATGCTAGATGTTACACAGCTAGGCAGTTCTATCACAATAGCTTCAGCAACAGAATGTGCTCAGTTGTGTAGCATACATGGGTGGCTCTACTCCCAAGAGTGAGAATTCAAGACAGTTCTGAACTTGTACAAAGAAGTGCACATCTTCAAGCAATGTCCAAGCAGGTGATGTGACAGACCAAAAGAGAATTTAAAGTTACAAATAACTGGAAATTTAGGGATTTATATAGCACTGTTATGAAGAGTCTAGGTCTAAATTTTTTTGACTATGGGAGCCTAAATAGGTGCTTAAGGCACGGTAGTTATCAATAGGATTTGTGGTGAAGGGTTCAACTTCAATGGGAGTTTCAATCTTCAGCACTTCATAAAATTTAACCAATTAATTAGGTGCCCACCCCATGCACGGAGACATTGGCCCTTGGCTCTCTAGCTGTGCCACAATGTAATTGAAGAGTTTGGGTTTCACCTATTGCCACAAGACTCCAAACAATGGTAAAGGTAAAGTCAAATACATTTCAATTTAGAAAGCTATGCAATCATTTTTCAACCCAACAGTGACTGTTCTTCATGTAGTCCAGCCATTGCCTAAGCATATTGTGATGTCTGCACCTGGATTTTCTATCTGCAAAAATGTTTGTCCCCTCTTCGCAAACAAAGTGGTTGGACCAATTCACAGAAGTTCATTTTCCAAGAAAGCTTTGGTTTCAGTCAAGTCAAATTTCAGCAAAAAGGAAAACTTTTGCAAGAGTAAAAGCATTCAAATAAGGCAAACCTGAACCAGTCAATTTTATGCAGCTAAGTTGTGATCTTTCCAAACTGTGTCTACATTTACAAGACAGCTACCTAGAATAGTACACAATAAAGAATCCACAATAGCTGGAAATTGTTTGACAATGCGATTTTCAGATCAGTAGCCCTCACTGAGGAATGTCCACTTAAGTTTGAGTTGTGTGAGAAGTTTTTTGCATGTAATTAGTGTCCAGATTCTCCTACCCTCCCGATGGAAAAAGTATGTCACCCTCTTGATACAGCTACCCCCAACCCCACTTTGGCCCAGAAGAGTTTAGAAAGTTGCAGGTTTCTGCAGACAGGCATTTATAATGAAAAGCCTTTTGCAACATTAGAGCTTTCTCCACCAGCAAAAGCTATGTGGTATGGCTGTTTTTCCTGATAGCAAACAGCTGAGAGTTTACAATGAACCTCCAAAGGTTAAATGCTTCCTGGATAACTTCCTGCTTGGACTCATGCCTCAAACTTGTTTTAAACATCTGTTAAGGAATGGAACAAAGGGTGCCACACATCGAGGCGCACTGGCAGGACACCATATGCATAGTAACTAGCATGTCAGTGCAAAGCTTATTAGTCTGTTCAGTTATGCTCTCCCCACTTTACCCAGCCACACCATAGTGTCATACCGAGACAGCAAATAAAACAAGCAGGGCCAAAGTGTCCCCCATACTCTATAGACACTAGTTGTGTTTCGATACATTAATGCCAACTCTTTTATGGCACATTCCATCGGTCAATCCGAAAGTGTTGCAAAGGTGGTCAGTATCACAGTCCTCCTGTTACAGATGGGGATATGGAGGCACAGAGAGGGAAATCAACGCACCAAATCACCCAGCAGCAGAGCTGGGACCAAAACTCAGCTCCCTCAAGTCTCAGTGAAGTGCTCTACCCACTACATTTAGTGTAAGCTTTATCCTTCTATTACTGTTACATAGCAGCTACAAGACTCATTTCACAATCACTCCTGCTGTCTCTTTATCTAAGCTATCATTCCAATCCTAGCCTTCCTAGGGATGTCTACATTCTCGGATATGCAGCGTTAATGCTGCCTTTTCACACGGAAGTGCGATATTTGAAGGCAGCAGATCTTAGGGCTTAGCTACACTTGCAAGTTAGCGTGCATTATAGCAGCCCTGGGCACCCTAGCTCACTACCTGTCCACACTGGCAAGGCCCGTACAGCGTTCTGACTCCAGGGCTAGAGCACTCCTGGTACTCCACCTCGGGGAAAAGATTAACACTTGGTGCGCATTGGCTGAAACGCCCAGGTGTCAGTGTGTTGCATTACTGCACTCTGATCAGCCTCCAGAAACGTCCCATAATCCCCGTAAGTCAAGTGGCCACTCTTGTCATTGTTTTGGAATCACTGCAGGCATGCCAATATGCCCTTTGAAAGCTCTGTTTCTGACAGCCGGCATGCTTATCTACTCCGAGACAAAGCAATCATTACTGTGGAATGCTGTGTGTGAGAGAGGAGGGGGGAGGGAGAAAGGGAAAGAGTGTGTCTGTTGCTGTCTGAACTTACAAGACAGCATGCTAACATGCTCTCAGCCCCCCAAAAACCCACTCTCTCCCCCCACATACATACAACACACTCGCTGTCACACTCCACCCCACTCATTTGAAAAGCATGTTGCAGTCACTTGCATGCTGGGATAGCTATCACAATGCATTGCTCTCTGTGGCCATTGCAAGAGCTACTAATGTGGCCATGCCAGTGCACTTGCAGCTGCCAGCGTGGACAGATTGCAGCGCTTTCCCTACTGCGCTCGACGAAGGCAGGTTTAACTCAAAGCGCTCTACATCTCCAAATGTAGCCATGCCCTAAGCTAACACTACAACTCTGCTTCCATTATAACCCTCTCCCAGTTTTCACACACCACTTCCGGGGGGTTCTGTTGTGGCTAAGATATTACACGCCTGGACTCCGTCCACAGTGATTTGTCTTCCACTGAGCCACATCCATATGCCAGCTTGCATTACTGGTGAGGGGGAAGGATCATTAGTATTTACCCCTCCTTCTTTACAGCACAATGTTCTTCACTTCATCTGGGTTTGATGTTTGTGGCACTTCACATTTGCGCACAAGCATGTGACCGGCCCTCATAGAGGAACAGCCACTGGAACAAGTTTAAACATATTTATGTTAATGAAATCTAAAGCTGAGAATTTAAAGAAAGAGGCTTGTGCCCAGCGCAACCTTTTCGGGCCCCAGGGTCTGTCATTGTTCACAGAGCAGCACCCGGGAGAAGGGCTCGCAGGAACGGAGGTTGGATTTCCCGAGATGCTTAGTGAAGGGCTATTAGAACTGAGCGGCCCAGGGAATTCCCAAACAGCTTGCCACCACTGGCCGCCCAGCTCAGCTGCCCTCCGCACTGCTAAGGCTAGGGTGACCAAACAGCAAATGTGAAAAACCGGGACAGGAAGTGTGGGGGGGCCAAATAGGAACCTATATAAGAAAAAGACCCAAAAATCGGGACTGTCCCTGTAAAATCAGGACATTTGGTCACAATAGCTCGGGCTCGGGGCCTGCTGGAACGCAGAGGAGACCCCGGGCTCAGCCGGATGCTAACGGGGGAGGCCCGCTAGTGTATGGTCGGGCAGCAGCATAGCAGGGACAGCAGAGCGCACCGCCCCCCCAAGGGCTGCGAACAGTGGCATCCGAAGGGGCTCCCTCCCGCCACGGACCTCGCCAAACGCTAAGCGGCGCCCAGAGGCGGGGAGCCAACCTGGCCCGCCGGGGGAAGGACGCGCCCCGCGTTGCCCCCGGGGCCAGGAGCACCTGTCGCAGGCTACTGGGGAGGAACGCCCCCAGCCCGTACCTTCGCGCTCCCACTCGGGGAGCTGGTCCGCGTCTCGGGTGGCGCTGCCCAGCACAGCCCGCGGCAGCGCCTCCATCCGCCCGTCCACCTTGTCGCGGTCGGCCGCGCCCGCGCCCTCCATGGCCCGGCGGAAGCAGGCGCCCAGCGCCTCGCAGTCCAGGTTCTGCAGCTCCTCGCACAGCGCCCGCCGCTCCGCGCCGCCCAGCTCAGCCCAGAAGCGCAGCAGGTGGCCCTGCCCGGCCGCGGCCAGCCGGCGGCGCAGCACCTCGGGCTCCATGGGCAGTGAGCGTCGCCCAGCCCCGGGCAGCCCCAGCCCGCGAACCGACGGCGCAGCTCACGGCTCCCAACCCGCATGCACCTGGCCCACGAGCCCGGTTGCTACCCGGCTTCCGCTCCCCCAGACCTGAGTACGCTCCCCGCTACAGCGCTCATATAGGCGGCTAAGCCCTGCCCCTCACGGCCACCAATCGCTGCGCTCAGGGGCGGGCTGCCTCGCCGTGTCCGCCAGGGCCACGACGCGCCCACTGACCCTGACTTCACGTTCGGCGGCGGGGACGCGTCCTAATGGCTGAGAGCCCACGAGGGGCGGGGTCACAGCCACCTCCACCCAATCTCTTCCTGGGGCACGTGGCAGGCCCTAGCGTATGCGGAAGGGAGCCGCTGCCGTCCTCTGCCAACTCCGCAGCTGTTTGCCATGGTGATGTTTGTGATGTCACATACACTCAACGTAGCCGACTCGCGGGGCAAACAAAGTCTTTCCCCCAACCCCGCCTCCCCTCCCCTCCCCCACAGTACCTCTCCCTGCTACCACCCAACCCCTCCCCCCTCCAGCCCTTCCCCTCCAGCACTGCTCCCTACTCCCACGCAATCCCTCCCCCTTCCACTTCCCTCCCCCACTGTATCGCTCCCTGCCCCACACAACCCCTCCCCCTCCACTCCCTGCTCCCACCCAAACCCCCTCCTTTACCCTCCCCTTCTGCATAGCACCACTCCCTGCCCCACCCAATCCCTCCCGCTTCCACTTCCCTCCCCCCACCTCGCTCCCTGTTCCCATCCAACTCCTCCCCCCCAGCACCGCTTCCTGCCCCACCCAAACCTTCCCCCTCCCCTCCCCGCCACCCCTCCACTCACTTCCCCCACAGCACTGCTCCCTGCTCCCACGGCACCGCTCCCTACCCCACCCAACCCCTCCCCCTTCCACTCCCCTCCCCCACAGCACCGCTCCCTGCTCCCACCCAACCCTTCCTGCCTCCACTCCACTCCCCCCATAGCACTGCTCCCTGCCCCCACCCAACTCCTTCCTCCTCCACTCCCAGTCCCCCACAGCACTGCTCCCACCCAACCCTTCCCCTCCCCCCACTGCATCGCTCCCTGCTCTCACCCAAACCCTCCCCCCTCCACAGCACTGCTCCCTGCCCCCACCCCACCCCTAAAGCAGCACTCAAGGACAATAAGGCCATTGTGGAGAAACTAAATTAATTCTTTGCATCCGTCTTCACGGCTGAGGATGTGAGGGAAATTCCCAAACCTGAGCTATTCTCTTCAGGTGACAAATCTGAGGAACTGGCCCAGATAGAGGCCATTAGAGGAGTGTGATGATGCGGCTCTGGCGGGACCCAACTGAGAGTGCCAATTCAGGACAAATTGCTAAAAACAGGACAGTTACAGCCCAAGGCTGGGGTTTTTCCACCTCTAAGGCAAACCAAACCAGCCAGACTAAGACGACTTCGGTCTCACCCCACTGGCTAACCACAAGTCACACAAGCAATTCCCTAAGACACTCCAGTTTCCCAGTATCACCACCAGTGCCACTCGTTATGGGGACAAATGGTTATGAAAACGAATACCCCAATAAAAGAAAAAGGTTCTCCTGATCCCATAGGACCAAGCCCCAGACCCAGGTCAATATACAAATCAGATCTTACCCACAAATCACGCTGTTGCCAATCCTTTAGAATCTAAAATCTAAAGGTTTATTCATAAAAGGAAAAAGATATAGATGAGAGTTAGAATTGGTTAAATGGGATCGATTACATACAGTAATGGCACAGTTCTTGGTTCAGGCTTGCAGCAGAGAGAGAATAAACTGCAGGTTCAAATCAAGTCTCTGGAATACATCCCCAGCTGGGATGGGTCATCAGTCCTTGGTGTAGAGTTTCTGTTTGTAGCAAAGTCCCTCCAGAGGTAAGAAACAGGATTGAAGACAAAATGGAGATGAGGCATCAGCCTTATATAGCCTTTCCCGGGTGTAAGAACACCTCTTTGTTCTCACTGTGGAAAATTACAGCAAAATGGAGTCTGGAGTCACATGGGCCAGTTCCTGCATACTTTGCTGAGTCTCAAGGCATATTTGCCTTCTCTCAATGGGTTCATTGTATAGCTGATAGTCCTTAATGGGCCATCAAGCAGGCTAGGCAGAGCTGACACCAACTTGTCTGGGATGTCACCCAGAAGCATAGCATAAGTTTGAAATACAGACAGTATAGAGCCAATATTCATAACTTCAACTACAAAATTGATACACACATATAGACAGCATAATCATAACCAGCAAACCATAACCTTGTCTTAGACACCTCATTTGACCCCCTTTATACAAGATTTGGGTGCCACTACAGGACCTTGGTTGCAACAATGATCTATATGGTCCCTGATTATATCAATATAATCACAAGGAGGTTTGGAACAAATTGATAAACTAAACAGTAATAAGTCACCAGGACCAGATGGTATTCACCCAAGAGTTCTGAAGGAATTCAAATGTGAAACTGCAGAAATACTAACTGTAGTCTGTAACCTATCATTTAAATCAGCTTCTGAACCAAATGACTGGAGGATAGCTAATGTGATGCCAATTTTATAAAAACGGCTCATAGATTAACATAATTTGTTGGGGAAGAGTCAACGTGTTTTTTTTTAAAGGGAAATCATGCCTCACCAATCTACTAGAACTCTTTGAGGGGATCAGCAAGCATGTGGATAAGGGTGATCCAGTGGACATAGTGTACTTAGATTTTCAGAAAGCCTTTGACAAGGTCCCTCATCAAAGGCTCTTAAGCAAAGTAAGCTGTCATGGGGTAACAGGGAAGGTCCTCTCATGGATTGGTAACTGGTTAAAAGATAGGAAACAAATGGTAGGAATAAATTGTCTGTTTTCAAAATGGAGAGAGGGGGTCTGTACTGTACTGGGACCAGTCCTATTCAACATATTCATAAATGATCTGGAAAAAGGGGTAAACAGTGAGGTGGCAAAATTTGCAGATGATACAAAACTACTCAAGATAGTTAAGTCCAAAGCAGACTGCGAAGAGCTACAAAAGGATCTTGCAAAGCTGGGTGACTAGGCAACAAAATGGCAGATGAAATCCAATGTTGATAAATGCAAAGTAATGCACATTGGAAAACATAATCCCAACTATACGTATAAAATGATGGGGTCTAAATTAGCTGTTACCACTCAAGAAAGAGATCTTGGAGTCATTGTGGGTAGTTCTCTGAAAACGTCCACTCAATGTGCAGCAGCAGTAAAAAAAAGCTAACAGAATGTTGGGAATCATTAAGAAAGGGATAGATACATACTGCAGATGTGCCCCCCCCACACATACACACCCTCTCAAAAAAGATATATTTGAATTGGAAAAGGTTCAGAAAAGGGCAACAAAAATTATTAGGGGTATGGAACAGCTTCCGTATGAGGAGAGATTAATAAGACTGGGACTTTTCAGCTCAGAAAAGAGATGACTAAGGGGGGATATGATAGAGATCTATAAAATCATGAGTGGTGGTGGAGAAAGTAAATGCAGAAGTGTTACTCTATTTACTGTAACTCTTGTTCTGCTTCATTCTCCCCCGCCCTTCCATATCCCCCACTTGGTCTGCTTATGGCATGTTTGACCTTACACTGTAAGTCTTTGGGGACCGGACCAATTCTTTACATGGACAGCACCTGGCACACTTTGGGCATTCAGACAGAACTGACCATCCACTATGAATTCAGCATTTCTGAGGCAGAGCGCACAGCCAATGGTTCCTGTCAAACAGCCTCCTTGCCATGCTATAGGGTTACATTTAATCCAGCCACCAGGCTACGGAGTTTGGACCTGGGCTTTTCATTCTGGTCCGACTCTAATTCAGACAATCGCAGCCAACGAACCTGGGTGAGCCATGAGTTCAGTCAGGGAGAGGGCGGTGGCGTCTGTGTCATGAATGAGCCATCTACAGCAGTGATCTCAGGGGAAGGATGGGTGGGGCCCTGCAATGTGCATAGCTACAAGCAGCTGTGTAACAAACAAACCCCACCGCAGCCCAGTTCCTGGCAGGGGTGTGCAGCCAGTCTGGGTGTGCGGTCATACCACATCACTGTTGGCCTGTGCCATTCCACCCAGTCCCTGCCCTTCAGCTTCGCCACACTACCATTTCATATCCTGCCCCAACACTTCATTCTCATTCACCCCCACATCCCACAGCCCAGCATTTAGTAGTTAGCCCCTGCACCACCCCTGAATTTTCTGCCTCCTAACCTTTAGAAGTTGCCCCCTTTCTCCATCCTGCAATGTAGGGGTTGGGGGTTCCTGGAGAGTTCCTTCCTCCACAGGCATCTAGCTCCCCTGTCCCCATCAAAATGGTCACAAGTGTTGGCCAGGGGGCAGCTGCAGAGATGGCAAGAATACCCATGGCCCTGGGGGTGGCAGCACACAGAAGCATTCCCAGCCCTGCAGTGCCAGCGGAGCACTAGCTACTACATGTGCTGAAGAAACAGGAAACTTGCGATGTCCAGGAGCTCTGATTGGCTGCCCTTTCACAGGAGGTGGAGGCATGGGAAAGGACAACCAATGGGGCGGGCTGTTCCCCACACCCATAGAGGGGTCTGAATATGGAGAAAGGTCTGTTAGGTAAAAAGCAAGTCCTTACTCACCTCTCCAGCACCCGAGTT